GGATTAACGTAATTATGTCGATGTAACGCGACGCCTGTGCCACTGACGTCATCGCGTCTCATCTTCTCTGACTATCCTGTTTGCCGGATATTCGTGTTCCTTCTGCGAACGCTGACTCGAGTGCTCTTTGTTTGCCTCACCTCCTTTCCTCTCTTTTTTTCTCCATTTTGTCCAATTTTTTCTTCATTTCTGTTTGTTCTGCAGGATTTAGTTGCCGTTGTGCCGGATATCCGTTTCATCGCGACGATTTTTATCGTCAGAGAGTATTCGTAGGGACATTATTTATTTCCACGGGTATGGGACTGTTTGTGTAGGAAATAAAATACCTAATAATAATAATTTCAGATAAATTAAAATGTGGTATTTCAGTTGTAAAACGATTCCTTTATTTTATACGCGAGGAAGGCACGCCACTACACAATGATAAGAGCTCGACGAGACGCGAAGGATAAAAGAAATGGAAATTTCAGTGTCCACCCATATTAAACAGATGGTTCTATATATGTTTGTATTAACCTGTCTCAGTATGTTGATCATTTTTGCTGTTACCACTGCACACGCGCACTCACAGCCTTAATATTTCGAAATCTCAGAACTTAGAAATTGCAACGCGTGGAGGGGTCCCAATAGATATTTAGAAATCTCAGCAGGCCTTAGGGATTACAACGCGTGGAGGCCCGAATATTTCTAAATCTCAAAGCGTGGAGATTCCAATATTTAGAAATCTCAGAGCTTAGAAATTACATTGCGTGGAAATTCCAATGTTTAGGAATTTCAAAGCTTAGAAATCGCATCACGTGAAAATCCAAATATTTCGAAATTTCAGAGCTCAGAAATTTCAACGCTTGGCGATCCCAATATTTAGAAATTGCAACGTGTGGAAACCCCATAAATGAAAGTTGCAATATTAAAAAAAAAAAAAAAAATAAAATACACAGAGAGTAGAAAAGATATCGATAGTTGATAAGAGAAAAAAAAAGATTAAACGAAATGTTCATTACACTGTTCATCGTTTCTCGCACGTCCCATTCCGATTTCCTGCGCACAAGTGTTGCCCGGAGATCCGCGTTTCCCTTGCTCTTAGGAGCGTATCCCGCGCCACGTGAAAATCTTGGAGACAATGCTCGTGACGTCTGGTGGCGGCGGCGTTTCCCCTCATTCACTTCCTGAAGGGAACTTGAACGACTAAAAATAGGCGGCTGTTTTAACACGTGCACAGCCACCGATCGTCGACGCGCCACATGGCAGAAGGTGCTGCTCTTTATTTCTCTTCGATTCTAATGCAACCACCTCGTGACAATTCTTTAAACGAGAAAAACAAGAGGGAGGACATCATTTTTATCATCACGTCTCTTTCAGTTCTTACTTTCAATAGCAACGGAAATAATTTCGATGTTCATTATTCGTGTACACACTCGATCTTTCATTTGAAGATACAACGATAATGATTACATTCCTTTTTATTTTGACAACGCATATCCTTATCTTCTTATATGAAAGTTACGTGAAAATGGAGAACTTGAAAGAGTAAATTGAAATCTAAATAAAAAATGAAATGTTACGTTTTTAATTGTACAGAGTGGAGGAAAGTGTGTTACCACGTTATAAGACATTTAAAACATCTGCTAAGTACTCTTCCAATTGTGTTATTTATAATAGTAGGGAGAAAAGCATGGCTTCATTTTTCCAAGCCATGGACGCGAAGGTGAAACTCGCGATTTATCGGTCACGATGGACGTAGATGGAGCGATCTTGAAGTCGCGAGGTGAACGGAAGAAATCGAAATTTATGATCGGTACGCGACGCGTGTTGCCTGCGGTGAACAATAGCGCCTTGCTACGTGACAGACACTTGAATCTTTAGATTGGAAAAGTAGAAGGTGTACAAGTAGCCACTCCTTTATCGTAGTTTTCTTCTTTTTATCGAGTTTAACCTTTCGTTTCTTTCTGTTCTTTTGTTTCAGACATGGTTCTTTACTGACCGAGATGATCCATATTTCCAGAACGAGACCAGTGAGTGACCATTGATATTTTCTATTTCTTTAAGCGAAAAGAAGATTCTTTCTCTGAGACATTTCTTCATATCGTCGATGATGAATCGGAGTACATTTAAATTTTCCAATTTTATTTGATATTTATTTTCGCGAACAATTATTTGAACTAGTAACTTGGAATTTTGAGGTACTTTAGGATACTGATATTGGGAGAACTGGAAATGACAGCAATTGCATTTATTTATTTTGTTCCATTTTAGCTTAACACCACAATTCTAGAATCCTCTTCATATTTTCCCTATAGTGAAAATAATTAGAACACCTACGAGCTGGTATCTCAAGTTGCCTATTACACCATTCCTTAATTAAGCCCGAAAACGTCTTCGTACATTACGTTCATTATGATTCTATTATGTATATAATATCAACTCGCATCGTCATTCATTTCAGTCTCAATTTCAATGATTTTTATTTCGCAAAATTTCACATTGGTCTTAAAATAAATTTAAGCTTTGAATCTCTAATTTATTGAAGAAGGAAAGATAGAAATTATAAGGAATCGAGATTCTTTAAAATTCTTTACTCTTCCTCAACACCAACCATACACACGCGTCCACGTATAAAAAGGATCTTCATTGAAGGAGAAGCACATAGGACGTTTATTTCTGTTGTAATACCAGGCATGGATAATTACACTGAGCGTGGCTTAACGGCTGGCCTCGTTTACGCGATAATTGCCGCGTACGAGCGCACGTGTAGGAGCCGAAACGCTCTCGCTTGTAAATCAAAACGACCATTTTGTACTTCTTATTAGAAAAATTGGAAAAATTTCTGGAAAAATTAAACAAAATTCTCGTGATTGAGGATCGAAAACTTAGGCCTCCAGCCTTTTTGCAGTTCCCAAATGAATCCAGAGAACTTCACTGTTCCATATTCTATAAAATTTCTTATTTTTTCAAGAATAAAATCAAATTCCCATGGTTGAGGATCCGGTATTTAAGACTCCAGCCTTTTTTTAGCCCACAAATGAGTTGAGGGAATTTAACTGTTACATATTCTATAAAATTTCTTATTTATACAAAAATAAGATAAAATTCTTACGATTTAGGTTGGGAAATTTAGTTTTTCAGCGTTTCCTCAAGCTACAAGTGGCATTAGTAGGGCAAGAAACGTAGCAAGGCCCCTGCCCCAGTAGAGGAACAGAGGGTGGATTACGCGAAGCAGGTAGAAAGGAGGCGCAAACCGGTGCAGAGCGCGTGGTGAGGTCAAGTGTCGGACGGTGCCCGAGGGCTCGCGTGCTCATCCCTTCTCTTTGCTTCTTTCCTTCTCTACCATTATCCTCCTTGCGTTCACCAACACTCACAGCTCAAGTCAGTGTAGAAATTCTAACCGTCAGGGAGAAATATGAAATTTTTGAAATGAAAATGAAAAACTACAATTTCAGGAATTTCTTAATTAATGCACATTTGTTAATAATGACATTTCAATTTCTCAAATAACATTTGTATGCGTATATAAAGTCGTTTCGATTCGACTTTTTCAGAAATCGATTTCTCCATCAAAAGTTAATTTATCGAAAAAATATTAAACAATTCTATTTCTCACTTGTTTCTTGATTATTAAATGATGCAGTAATTAAGTGGAAATGCTTTTTCGAACGATCGATAGTATCATGGGAGAATCTTGATGCGCGATGATAGAGGTGTGTATCACCGGTGAAGTAGCAGAAGCGACACCGGGCCGAATTAATTAAGCCTCTGTTAGCGTCGACCCAGAAGGATGATTATTAACCTCTTAATTAATTGCACGCCCACCCCTTCTGGACACGACTCACAACTCCCTGTCCTTGTTTGCTTGTAGGCGGCCATATGATCAACACCAAGTGCTCGTCGTCGCACAACAGACGGGCCCTCTGCTGTAAAATGTCCGTTGAGTTCGACAGGTTCCTCGACAGTGGCCGGAAGTGAGTATTATTTTCAATTTCTTTTTTCAATTGTAGCGACTAAAAGTTTTAGTGCTTAGAAATTGTGAAACGTGGAAATCCCGGTATTTCGTCATCTCGAAGCTTAGAAATCCCGACGTTAAAAATTTCCAAACTTAAAAATTGCAATATATGAAAATGTGAAAATGGCAGTTCGTCAAGGAGCACCCGGTGTACATAAGTACTTGCATGAACACGAAAGAGTCGCCAACAGGTTGTTCATTTTTGGGGGATTTCGTGGTACGAGTCGCCCTTTACCGTCCTCCGGGACAAGTTTATCTGATACGTTCGAGTTAGCTGCTCCACGCACGGACAAATTCTTCCTTTTCCACTTCGAATCTCGATACCGGTCTTCCACCTGACTCTGCATGGATAATTCGTCCTATAAAATCGAATATATCTCACAGAAACCTGAAAAAAAAAGACGGTGACACGTTAAGTTACTTTTTTCACGGTAGAAAAAGTCACACTCTTGTAAAATTCCTGTGTATTATAAAAATAAAGTGCATATTGATCAGAGAGACTCCTGTCTATGTTAACTGTTTACTTTTCTGGCGGTCTTCAACGGAAAGCTTTTGATGTCTTCCCTAATGCGTTATTCCATAGACAAGATTTATTTTCTCTGCTTTTTCCAACCACTCTTATCTGCGTCTTGGTTCTGGATGCACGTGTGTATTGAAATATTAGTGGAAGTTTTGGCCTTCTTAAAATCTTTTAACTTTCTTGGGTCTCCTTGTGTCAATATCGTTACCTTTCCTTGAAAAAATAACATCCAGGAAATGCGCCTAGAACATTTTTAGGTGCTTAAATTTTAACGAAGTTTTAGAGAAAAGAATATTTTTGAATTAAACATTCAAGCTTTCGTTGATCTTAAAATATTTCTCAATTTTTATTTCTGATCCTCTATTCTTTGGCATTCTCGATTTTCAAACGGTTCCCTGATATTTCCAAAAATCCTACCCCTCAGATTCAATCCAATCGAGATCTCCTAGGTTTTCCCACCTAGTGACAAGGCAGACCTTCACTATCCGTCGAAGCGTACCGTTTGTTTGCAAATGAGATGTTATTACTACGGTTTGACCGTCGAAAATTCGTGTTTGCATAGGGTGGCACGATCGCCACGTCAAAATATTATCCTGGATGAAGCGGTGCCTAGAAAAACACGTTCTAATGGGACGTCGGCATCGTGAACCAATTATCAATCGTATTCCATCACTTTCCTTCTTCCCATTTATTTTCTCTGCACTTTAAAATCTGCTCGAGATCATTAAAAATTAATAAAATAATTATTCGAAAAATATTTCACCTCAATTCACGTAGAAAAATTGTTAGAGAAATGGTACTTTGGTAAGAAATCCTGTTGTGAAAATAATTTTGAAAAAGTATCCATTTTTCGAGCTCCATTCATGCAGAGAAAATTCAAGATGGAAAGTTAAGTCAGTTATAGTCGGGGCCACGATATAGCGAGGTCGTAAAATCGGTTAGGCGTCAAAGTAAACATGTTTTAGCTGCCGGGACCCCGAAATTGAAAATTAGGGTTTCTCCCTCTGGGGGAAGCCGCTTTTGGAAGTACGGTTACAAGTAAAGGTCTTATTGAGGTCTTTAACATCTTCATTTACCTGCTCGTGTTATATACAGATAGAAAATGCAAAAGGATTGTGTAGCTTTAATATTAACATATTTTCCATTTGTAAATGAAATACCATTTTCTACTTGAAGTACCAAATCATATGCTACCATTCGTTTATTGTTGGAACCCTCAAACAGACTGCAACACACGGCCTTGAGTGCCGCAACATCAATCGATGCCGATTTTTGAGAGTTTAATTTACGACCTCGCTATATCGTGGCCCCAACTATACTTGATCTTTGATGTATAAAGTAGAGTTTGGTCAGGATTTCCGGTTTCTGCAAGGAGAACGTTACTCGATGCTCGCTTTTTCCCATAACAATCCCTCGTCGGGCACTTAGAGTGTTTACGTGAACCGCGTAAACCAGCGCACCGACGATGTAACCGCGATAAGTAGGAAGATCAAAGAGCAACTACACGATCCTTGCCCCTGTAGACAGAGAGGAGAGAATGAGCTGTAATTGCAGCTGTTAATCTGACTACGGAAAGACCATTACTACATCTGCTTATCTACTCGTACAGTTTCTTGTACGAATTGCTGCCTTTATCGATAATTTTCTATCATTTGGAATACATATTATGTATTATAATGGGCTTATACTAAGGCTGCCACGAAACTACGAATATTCGATGTATCTGATTAAACGACTTATCCGAATTATCCAAATAATTGTAATTACCTGAATAAAGAATTCGTATTCGAATAGTCTTCTGAGGGTTGTATTTGGATTTTTTTTTTAAATTTCCGCATAAAAAGTTGCAACTTTTCGAAGAAATTGTTTTGCATGTAATTGATATAAATATTAACAAAATTAAATACTTGCACATGACAAAGCCACAATTTGTAAACACACAAAAAGATTTATTCTGTATCGTGAGAAAATTTAAATTATCCTTCACTTTATCTCAATCGCAATCCTCCAAGCAAAATAAACCCTCGATTCAATGGATCCACAAATCATCTACATGCATAAAATCTCGACAAATACCAGCATATTCCAATAAGAACCACTTTACCAACTTGTCGAAAACTGCAGAGAACTTTTCTCGCTCGCATAACTCATGCTCTCCTTCCCCATTCAACCGACTCGCTGGACAAGTAGAGGGGTTGAACACGCCAGAAAAAACGACTCTTTAAACCTATCCAGAGAGAAGAAGAAGAAGAACCTAACCTAACCTAACCTAAACGTATCCAGAAAAAAGAAGAAGAAGAGGAAGAAGAGGAAGGAGGAGGAGAAGAATCCTCGAAACAAGAGGAAGAAGAAGGGTTGTAGACAAGAGGAAGAGGATCCAAAAGAGGAACGAAACGAGCCCGCATGTGACAGTCGAGACACTCCCTGTTCGTTCTTTCAGCGACCAGAAGAGAGGAGATTGAATCGTCCCGGGCCAGCTGGTGCACACCTCTCCCTCTCTCGCCTTCGTCCTTCGACGTGTCTTATTGTGGACTTTTCTCAAAGGCACAAAAGGATTCCCCCAACGGCGATCAGGCCATCCAAACTATATACGAGCACGTGTTCCTCGTGGAAAAAGAAAATGGCCGTCAAAGGACGCCGAAAGAACCAATTAAATGTCTACGTTTTGCTGGTCGTTGCTAGTATGTGTATATATATACAGGGTGTCCCAGCTAACTTGATCAACTCGAATAATTACCGAACGGTACACTTTAGGAAAATGGTAAGACATGAAACTTAAATGGTGTCGAGGAACACATCTCATAAGGAGGAGGCGTTACGGAGATTTTAAGGCCACCTTAATTTTTTTAAATAGAATGACCTATCTTTTTGTATCGTGGATCGATAGAGTATCATATTCCGAGTAAAAATGTATCGACCTTTGCATGCCCTACACCTAATAGTTAACCAGATATTAACGAAATAATTTTTAATACGTACTTGCTACTTGGAAGCTAAAGGTGCTTGAACTGTTGTCCTTCAACTCGTTTACGTGTTAATGGTTATCAACATAAATGTTCTCAGTTTATTGCGTATTACAATCGCTTTCGTAATGTTTATGGTTCAGTATTGTAGAAGATATTTTCGATGTGCGTTCGTGACTGTTGGAAAAGGATAATTTAAACTGAAATACAGTAATAGCGAGTGTTTAGATATGCTGTTAATTTACAGTGCTTGCAATGAAAGCGCATCAGGAGCGAAAGAAACGTATGCTGAAAAATATCCTCAACGTAATCAACTATCTTCGATAAACTGGTGCTTTCCATCACACTAAACGTAACCTAACCAAATCCGTTGTTAATGAAGATAATGTTACTGCTATCGTAGCAATAGTAACACAAAATCAATGTGTCAGTACGCGAGAAATTGCACGAAGTTCTGGAATTAGTTCAACTAGTGTACATTGAATTCTTCAAACTGAAAAGTTTCATCAAGAGTTCCATGGAACAGATTTTCAAAGTCGCGTTCGATTTTGTCAAAAGCTTTTGCAACAATTAGACAGAAGTGATTCTTTCTTACAGAATGTTTTATTTACGGATGAAGCGACGTTTACGAACCACAAGCATGTTAATTTAAAACGTTCATTATTGGTCGCAAAGCAACCCTCACTGGATTAGAGAAGTTGGTCACCAACGACAATGGAGTCAATGGAGCATCTACTTTAACTTCTAGGTAGCAAGGACGTGTTAAAAATTGTTTCGTTAATATCTCGTTAATTATTAAGTTTAGGACATATGAAGGTCCAAACATTTTTACTCAAAATTTGATATTCTGTCGATTTACGATACAAGAAATAGGTTATTCCATTTAAAAAAATTAAGGTGAGCTTGAAATCTCCGAAACGCCTCCATCCACAAAGAAAGCACGTACCTTATGGGATGTGCCCCTGAGCATCATTTAAATTCCATGTTTTACAACTTTCATAAAGTGTACCGTTTAGTAGTTATTCGAGATGATCAAGTTAGCCGGAACACCCTGTATATGTATACAGAGTGTATCTAATAACTGGGCCGAGTTATAACTCGATTGTTATTGAAAATAGAAAAAAATTGTAGAGGAGAAACTGAACAATGTGATGAAAAGTGTAAAGAAACGTGTAAGAAAATGTTTAGAATGCAATGGTAGAACATTTGAACATTTACTATAGGTGCTGGAAAAAGAGGTAAATATTTCGAAAAGTATCGAGCTTTTCACGAATGTACTTTAATACTTTTTTATTCAAAATAGCACGAGGAATCGATTCATGCAAAAAAAAGAAGAAGAAAAACTCACAGAGTAGCATTTAAAAAACGAGTGCAATTGCACTTTGCAACTGCACCAATGCACTTCCGTGAAAAGCCGCATTGCAGTATGATACAGCTTGTTAAACTGTGCAAAACTTTCCTTTACTATTGCTTTCT